GTGGTGCCACAGGAGAGTCTCGTGAGACAGGAGGCGACACGAGCAGGGGGCAGACTCAGGACCAGACCTGGACGCTGCAGCAAACACCTGACCCAACGCAGCTACCTAGCCAGACGCAGGGACAGGAGGGGACCCAGTGGTCAGGGTGTAGAGACTCAACCCCGGCCAACGCGAGAACGTGGCCAGGTGCCGGCCCGTGCGGGCGTCCGAGCAGTGGGTCACCCGCTGACTCGCAGGAGTAAACTAGTGAACCCCTGCATCCTGCAGGTCAGCACCACTCACCAAGTTCGTCGAGAACGAGGGGAGGTAAAGACCAGACAAGGTGCCTTAGGGGGCAGCCGGACACGGGAGGACAGTGGAGAAGTGAGAGAGGACAGGACCCCCAGAGGGGTCTGCCAGGGAGACTGCAACCGGCCGACCAAGCGGCGTGAGTGTGGTGCGGTCTCGAAAGAAGGAGCGAGAAGCCCCTGAGTCAAGTGTGAAGGTGAGGGAGGCCGAAGCCGACGTGGTACCTAAGAGCGCAGACTCACCCGTACCTGAGGGCGCAGACGCACTGGCACCTAGAGCAGCAGCCTCACCAGCACCTGGAGCAGCAGGACCAATGCCCGGGTCGGGCGGGAAACACCGCTAGCAGTCTCCCTCATCACTAATAGTCACAGCATACATGGCAGCAAGGATAGCATCAAAGTCAAGATCATAGATAGCTACGCCTGCCCTAGACAGCTCTCCCCAGCGGGGGATCTCACTAGCCTCCGGGAACTGCTGACGCCAAGCGTCCGTCAGGCGGCCAAAGCAGCGCTGGGTGGGGTGGGCACCCCCACACTGCTCACCCGCGCGGTTGCTGGAGCAAAGGACGTAGGTGCACGGGCCAAAACCCCCACCACGCTGACGCTGCGTGTACCACTCACGAAGCTGCTGAGGAGGGGGGATGTCCCGAGAACGCTGCTGCTGCTGCTGCTGCTGGCGCTGACCACCCCCGGAGCCGCTCCGCTGCGAAGCACCACCCCGACCAGCTCCACCTCCTCCACCACCGCCGCCTCCACCTCCGCCACCACCGCCGCCTACGCTCCCACCGCTACCACCGCCGCTGCCTCTGCCTCCGCTGCTGCCACCGCCACGTCCACCCCCGCCACCACTCCCAGCGTCACCCCCACTCCCTCCGCCGCCTCCACCGCCACCTCCAGCACCCCTGCTAGCTCCACCCGCGCCCTTGCCCCCCTTGCCCTTGCCAGAGCGGCGTCTCCCGCTAGGGGCAGACGCCGCACCGACCGACTCAAGACCAACAAGGTCGGCCACAGCGGCAGAGGCGACAGAGGGCAACAGGGGGGAAGGGGAACACCCCTCAAAGATGGGGGTGCGAGGGTCACCACGAGAGGCTCCTAGAGCGACTATGCTCTTCTCTGCTGCTAGGAGGGCCTTCTCTAGGAGGTCAACAGTGAGAGTGGTGGGACAGACTGAGAGGAAGTGGTCCGTGACTACGCGAAGGGGGTCAAGGAGGCGGGTGACTATATAATAGAGAGTGATGTACATGGGGGGGGGGTTCTTGGCGCAGAACTCAGCAGGAAGCGCGGCGCGGTAGCGAGTGTCACTAGTGCGGAGGTGCGTAATGAGGTCAGCGACTGTGGGAAAGGCAGCAAGGTCAGGAAAGAGGTACGGTAGCATGAGGCGGCTCAGTGCAGCAGTGGCAGGGGAAGAGTAGCGTGCAACTACAGTCGTACAAGGTCTGAGCACTCTTGTACTGACTAAAGTGCGCGCGCTCAGTGGTAGGCAGGTGGCGACGCACAGCAAGACGTGCAGCAGCATCGCGAGTGGCCCACTGGGAGCGAACAGTGGCGTCAGCATCGGCAGCAGGGGCAGGGGAAGCACCAGAGGTGAGGTCAAAGAGGGAGAGACCGTCTGCCCTATCGTACTGTAGGAAAAGCTGCAGGTCATCTACCCAAACCTCAAAGTCAATGGCTCGACCCTCAGCGTCAAAAGCGAGAACACTGGGGGTAGCCATGACAGCAGTAGACCAGCAGGACCAACTATAGGACAGGGGCAGTGCAGGGACAGAAGCGCTGCTCTCACCAGGCAGGGCGTGTCGGGCAGCTCAGCGGTACAGCAGCACGGCAACACGGCTGCTCGGACGGCACAGCAGCAACTGCAGCTCCGTGGCACCAGCGGCTCGGCTCCTTAGGCGGCTCGGGCAGCTCAGGCGGCTCGGGTGGCTCGGGCGGCTCGGGCGGCTCGGGCGGTTCGGGCGGCTCGGGCGGCGCGGGCGGTGTAGGGCGGCAGGGCCGCTGGTGCGAGGGGCGGCGGGGCCGCTGAGAAGGGCGGCGGGGCCGCTGAGTAGGGCGGCGTGGCCGCTGAGTAGGGCGGCGAGGCCACAGTTGAAGGGCGGCGGGGCCGCTGAGTAGGGCGGCGGGGCCGCTGAGAAGGGCGGCGGGGCCGCTGCGGAAGGGCGGCGGGGCCTCAGTAGAAGGGCGGCGGGGCTGCAGTAGAAGGGCGGCGGGGCCGCTGATTAGGGCGGCGGGGCCGCTGAGTAGGGCGGCGGGGCTGCCGAGTAGGGCGGCGGGGCCGCTGAGTAGGGCGGCAGGGCCGCTGAGTAGAAGGGCGGCGGGGCCGCTGAGTAGGGCAGCGGGGCCGAAGCGACGGGTGGCGGGGCCGCAATGCGGGGCGACGGGGTCGCTGAGAAGGGCGGGGCCCGCTGAGAAGGGCGGCGGGGCCGTTGAGACGGGCGGCGGGGCCGCACTAAAGGGCGGCGGGGCCGAATCGACGGGCGGCGGGGCCGCTAGGGGAAGGGGCCGCTAGGGCGATAGGGCGATAGGGCCGCTAGGGCGATAGGGCCGCTAGGGCGTAGGGGCCGCTAGGGCGGCTCGGCGAGATGAGAGCCCGGAGCGCGACTCGGGTGGAGCGCGCTTCGGGCAGAAAAAAATAATTTGAAACTCGATGTGGTGGGCCCTAGGCACAGCTCCCAAGGGGGAACCTGGTCGATACCATGAGGAAAGTAGAACGAGAATGAATTGACTAAGGAATGGGAGTGATACAAATATGCAACCCTAGAAATGTGTACCCCATACGGACTACCCCACTATAGCCTACGCAATATTATAATTTGACACTTCATGCGTCTCAGATCATCGGGACGCAATTACTTGCGCCCTCCATTGTTGATGATAGTGTTGTTTTTTAAGTCTCGAGGGTGATTAAGGCAAGTGGAAGCGTAGCGCGGGCCAGGCCATCGCCACTCAAGCAAAATAAGTCTGTACAGTAAGTGGTAACCGAGGGGTATTTTCCTCTCTTCAACCTCTCCCCCCTCTTTGTTGCACGCGACCCCTCTACCCCTTTCGTTTGTCCTTCCTCTTTGTTGTGTACGGTATGGCATCTCCTTTTTTTTTACTCTTGTGACTTGTTCTACTCATCTCTTTTGCACAATCTCTCTTGCGCTATTTTTTTCTCCCCTTCACCCCTTCCCTCCTCTTTCCTTATATTCCGCCTCCCTTGCATATCCTTCCACCCCCTCCTCCTCTTCCTCCTCCCTCCATTCTACCCCTTCCAATTATCGCTCGCCCTTTCTACTGTTCTTTCCTTCTAGGTTATTCTACTCTAGGGCCCATCAATAAGAGTGAGAGTAGTGTTAAACAAAGGTCATGTTAAGAGTTTACGGTACAATCAATATCCAGACTTGCATATTCACCAACAGGCCCTAAGATTGAACTTAACTTATATTGTCCAAAGATGTTGGGATACATCCAAGGTACGTACAATGTGTCCACGACCAACGCGCGGAGGCATGTCATGTGTGGTCCATGTCAATTACAGACAATGTGTCAATGCCCCGATAATAGCATGTCCCGATAATAGCTCTGTTGTTTACAGTAAACATTGTAAGTACACGACTTGCATATGTCAGTAGATCTGCACTGTGGATGCCCGATTGATCCTGGAGAGGGTTACAGGCGCGTTTGCCTGGGGGGTTATGGGCGCACTGACCCGCTACTGAAACAAGCCCTTCTATCCCAATGGTCTAGTGGTTGGGATTCTGACATGGTATCAGAGCGGTCTCGGGTTCGAATCCCGGTGTATGCACATGTAGGCCGGTGCCGCTGTGCTTAGTCCTAGGCCTCCCAGTGTGGGGGGGTGTCAGTAGATCTGCACTGTGGATGCCCGATTGATCCTGGAGAGGGTTACAGGCGCGTTTGCCTGGGGGGTTATGGGCGCACTGACCCGCTACTGAAACAAGCCCTTCTATCCCAATGGTCTAGTGGTTGGGATTCTGACAGCATACATATTAATTTTGTACTGCATTTTCATTGGTGCACGATTAGGCAAAAATATTGCCGCAATAAACAAACTTACAAAACATTACATGGCTTCACGTTTGGGGCTATTGCATAACATGCAATACATTGTAGGGAAAAAAAAAGATTGCATCCACTTTGGATGATAGATAAGAAAATAAGGACAGAAATCACACGTAGTCGCAAAGGCCTACGACAATGATTAGAAGCATGTGTCATATGCAGCATGTAGTTGAGATGCTCAAATGCCCTGCGCGATGGTACAGATGGAGGTGTTACTGGAGAGGAAAATGGTAGAAGATGAGAAAGAAATGTGCGTGTTGAGAATTTAGGTGCAAAGGCTGATTTTTTAAGGAAGCAAGGGCATAACAAAAAACAAGCAGCAACAGAGGGATGCGAGCAGTTGACCATAGCCTAAGTCTCGATGTCAATGACGACTGATGCACAGACTAGAGCGAAGCCATGGCATCCATGTGCTGCCCTGTAGGGAACTGGAGGGGGTGATTGACGAAAACCCATAGAGATAGAGGAACATAAGGTGTAAATAAGAAATGTTTAACATGGAAAAAAAGGACGAAGATCAAATGGGAAATGAAAAGGGGGGTTTTGCTTATAATTCGTTACTACGAGGGTTGAAAGTACTCGTAACAGCATCACGAGCGACGTGTCTACCGTCGGTCGGAGCGAAATGCGTCGTTGTTGTTGCGTCATGCGTAGCTGATGCGGAGTTTAGTACTCGTTGTTGCCGCATCGACTGTCGCTGTGGAGCAAATCCATTCGTGCGGAGCAAATGTACATGGGGAGGTAGGAGAACAAGGGGAGGGGGACTTTAAGGAGGCGTCTAGTGAATACGAGCCATTATTGCAAAGGGAGGGACGATTGTGCCTACGATCCCATGAGAAACCTGGTCTCGATAAAAGTCGGTACTACACATGGGATGCATGGTGTGCAGGTTGAGTTGAGCGCGACAGTGAATCTATCGATGTAATACGTGTGACACACTTGGTGATAGTTTGGATCAGTCCAGGACAACACAAGCGGATTGCATGAAGGCAAATACATGCACGAAGTGGAGTGACGCATCACTATGTGGGAAGACCAAAGTCGGAAATCTTGCAAAATACTTTGCTCTGCAATATCATAAACATCAATGACATTTTGGGAATGGTGGAAAATACTGAAATATTGCAACAACCGATGTCGATTTCATTACAATATCGTAGTCGAATGACAATAGAGCAGGCCACGATATGAGCCATTGCGCAAACTAAGTGGGCATGCGGCTTCGAGGATATTTCTTCGTCTGCGATCGGCATTGGCATCGAATAAGTAAATGCCCTAAGGAAAACAAGCATTAGGTAGACGTGAAGTGGAATAGTATGAGAAGCAGGAAAACGCTAGATGTCAGTAGGAAGACTTGACGCGCCCAACCCAACCAACCCTTCAGTAGGGTTTATGATGATTCGTGCAGGTATAGCTTATGGAGAAGAAGAAAAAGAAGAAGAAGAAGAAGAAGAAGAAGAAGAAGAAGAAGAAGAAGAAGAAGAAGAAGAAGAAGAAGAAGAAGAAGAAGAAGAAGAAGAAGAAGAAGAAGAAGAAGAAGAAGAAGAAGAAGAAGAAGAAGGAGAAGAAGAAGAAGAAGAAGAAGAAGAAGAAGAAGAAGAAGAAGAAGAAGAAGAAGAAGAAGAAGAAGAAGAAGAAGAAGAAGAAGAAGAAGAAGAAGAAGAAGAAGAAGAAGAAGAAGAAGAAGAAGAAGAAGAAGAAGAAGAAGAAGAAGAAGAAGAAGAAGAAGAAGTAGAAGAAGAAGAAGAAGATGAAGAAGAAGAAGAAGAAGAAGAAGAAGAAGAAGAAGAAGAAGAAGAAGAAGAAGAAGAAGAAGAAGAAGAAGAAGAAGAAGAAGAAGAAGAAGAAGAAGAAGAAGAAGAAGAAGAAGAAGAAGAAGAAGAAGAAGAAGAAGAAGAACAACAACAACAACAACAACAACAACAACAACAACAACAACAACAACAACAACAACAACTGTGAAGAATGAGGAATGAATGAACTAGCAAGCAAGTGGGTACAAGTAGGAAAACCTAGAAGTGTTGTACCCATATAGTCTACCCCACTACGGCCTACACAGACTATAGTATAAGAGTTTGACACACCCCATAGGCACAGTGGGGGAGAACAAGAGGTCACAAGACCAGTCAAGCAAAGCAAAGCAAGCTCAGGGTGGATTACAACGTCACCACACAGTCCGAGCACAAGAGCAAGGACAAAAGGCCAGTTCACATGCAAGATCATATACATATATAGGTAAACAAGCAAGTGCAGGTATAGAAAGATCACAGTACAAGCAAGGTCAAGAAGTGAGCAAGTGAGGCCAAGTAGGCACAAGACCTAGCAACATACAAAAGCGCTGATGATCACAAGGCGGAAGTGCCTTGGTAAAGATATCAGCAGTGTTGGCCTCATAGGCCACGTAAGCAAGGCGTAGCTGACCACGCTGCTGCAGCTCACAAGCAAGGAAGTAGCGAAGAGCAATGTGCTTCGTTCTGTGCTCTAGTCTGTGCTCCCAACACAAGGCCGGCATGGCCTTGTTGTCTACGTACAAAACTGGAGGAGAACGAGGCGCCTCTCCTAGGTCACTCAGCAGGTAGGTGAGCCAGCGTAGCTCCTGTGTAGCCATGGCCCCCGCGTAGATCTCAGCCTCACAACTGGAGGTGAGAACAGAAGACGAGCGGGTAGACCGCCACGGAACAGAGCCGGAGCTAAGGCTGAAGGTGTAACCCTGTGACGACCGCTGCGTAGCCTGGTCGTCAGCCCAAGAAGCGTCTGCGTGACCTGTGAGGACCACTAGACGTCGCCCTCCAAGCACTAGCCCCATGCCCGACGTACTGCACAAGTAGCGCAACACCCTCTTCGCTGCAGCCATGTGCTCTGGTCGGTGTCTCCCAGGAGCAACATAGCATGCCAAGATGCTAAGAGGGTATGCAAGGTCAGGTCGTGTGCAGGTCATCACGTACATGAGGCAGCCAACAAGCTCTGCATACGGACCACTCGGCTCTACGGACTCATCCGAAGGCAGAGCAGAGAGTGAGTGGCGAGTAGACAGAGGAGTGGCCTGAGGCGAGGAGTACGTGAAGTTGAAGCGCTGAAGGACCTGCTGCACCATGTGTGACTGAGTCACGTTAATGGTGCGGCGTGCTCTGTCCCGGGTGATCTGCAAGCCAAGGTAGCTGCGCAGTTCACCCAGGTCTGTGCACGTGTGTCTCTTCTGCAGCTCGGACTTCACGTGGGCTAGTCCAGCAGTGTCAGCAGTGGTAAAGACCAAGTCGTCGACGTACACGAGGATGTAGAACGGCCGCAAAGAGGTGTCGGTGCGCAGAAACAGCAACGGGTCGGCAGTAGAAGGAGCAAACCCAAGAGCCGCAAGTGTAATCCTCAGTGTGTCGTGCCACTCACAGGGCGCCTGGCGGAGAACGTAGACTGGCCGCCGGAGGCTCCACTGGGTACAAGGGGGAAACGACCCAGTGAAGCCATGTGGGCGGCGCAGCCAGATCTCCTCGTGCAGGCTGCTCTGCAGGAAAGCTGTGCTGAAGTCAAGAGAGTGAAGCTCGTAGTCGCGCTGAGCGGCTATGTGCAACAGCACCCGAAGAGTGGTCATCTTCGAGGTGGGAGAGAAGGTCTGAAATTAGTCAACTCCTTGCCGCTGACTGAAGCCTTGAGCAACGTAACGCGCCTTGAAGACAGGCGGAGAACCCGGCGACCGCTTCACCCTTAAAATCCACATGCCACTGACGATGTTCGCCCTAGGTGGGGGGACCTCGTCAACGTAGGTGCCTGTGGACTTCCAGGAAGACATCTCTGCGTCCATGGCTGACTGCCACGGAGAGGAGTAGGGACCCTTGATCACCTCAGCGTACGATCGAGGAGTCGGGATGTCTGGTGCATTGGGGTTTTTCTCAGGGGCAATCAACGTGGACACGAGATGAGGCAAAGCAGCAGCAGAAGACTGGAACTCCTCCTGCCTGTCCTCAAGGACGTCCATGCTAAGAGCACACTCACCCCCGACGGACGGAGGACAGACAGACTCAGACTCAGCAACAAGACTAGCGGCGTAGTCGAGACGACAGCGGGCAGCAAAGTCGACAAGCTGAGCCACCAAGGCAGACGCAGCACTGGACTCAAAGGAAGGGTCAGTGACAGCAGTTGCCAGGAGACGCGTGACAGTAGGACTGGCAGCACGAAGAGAGTCTGACTCCGGGTCAGCAAGAACAGGGAGAGAGGACTCTGGAGGAGACGGCAACGGGACACGCAGAGGAGCAGTGGAAGGACGCAGTGCCATCCGGTGTGTGCCTGGGATAGTAGGAGGACGCGGACGCGGAACACGACGACTGGTGCGAGCAGCACGAACAGGCGACGCACGACGAGACGCAGGCTCACGTCGCTCAGCAAGACCTACAGTGGGACCAGTGTAGGGAGAAGGAGCAGGAAGAGGGGAGGTGGGCTGTAACTGTGACTGCGACTGGACAAGCTGTGGACACTCTAAGGTAGGAGCAGGACCAGCAGAGGGCGGGAGACCATGAACCTGTTCAAGGAGCGGAACGAAGTACGGCCGTGGCCGCGCAGCGCCTCCAGAATCAGCAGGGACAGAACGAGTACCCCCAGCGGCAGCACCAGCGCCAACAGCACCTCTAGCTCCAACAACGCCAGCTCCAGCACCCTCACACGCACCAGCGTCAGCAGAACCACCAGTGCCAACACCCCCAGCAGCTCCAGCTCTAGTAGCACCAGTAGCTCCAGTAGGACCGGCAGCTCCAGTACCGTCAGCAGCTCTAGCAGTACCTCTAGCAGGACTAATTCCAGCAGCCTCAGCAGCACCCCCAGCCCCAGCAGCTCCAGCACCGCCAGTACGAGCACCTATGGGACCAGCAGCAACAGTAGTACCTCCAGCTCCAGCAGCACAGCTCCAGCGCCGTGCAAACCACTCGCGCAGCTCCTGTCGAGAGAGCGGCTCCCGCGTCCACGAAGCACCGTCAGCGGCCACACGAGCAGACCCAAGAACCCCAGGCTCCGCACCCCCAGGCTCCACACCCCCAGGCTCCGCACCCCTAGACTCAGCACCCCCAGGCTCAGCACCACCAGACGCAGCACCCCAAGTCGCAAGAACCCCATACTCAGCACCCGCAAGCTCAGCACCTCCTACAGCACCAGAGTCAACAGCTACCTCGACAGGCTCGATTGCGTCTACCTGGGACACACCTGACGGGGCAGGACCCTGAGGGGGGAGGGGGTCTACCGGGGGAGGACCTGGCGCAAGGAAGAGTGGCGGTGGGGGGAGGGGCGCAGTGCGTTAAGGGAAGAGACGGTAGTAAGGTACCGACTCGTCAAAGGTGACGTCCTGCGAGAACAGAACACAGCGCAAGGTGGGGTGGTAAAACTGCCAACCAGGCGCGTCAGGGGGGAAGCCAAGGAAGATGCAGGGAACAACACGGGGGGACAGCTTGTCCGCAAACAAATCGCGGACAAACGCCCGAGATCCCTAGACCCGAAACGCAGACGCATCGCCAATCTTCCCCGTCCACCGCAGGGTGGGGGAGGTCTCTGGTAAGGAGACCCGGGGCTGAAGGTTCAGCTGATGTGCGGCGTACTGAACCGCAAACGGCCACAAAAAATGGGGGGCAGTCGCATGGATCATGGACGTACGAGCGACGTCCATGACCATGCCTATGCGGCGCTCAGCAATCCCATTTTGCTGTGGAGAGGCCGGAAGCGTGAAGGTCTGGCGGATGCCCTGTGCACGTCAGAAGGCTCCCAGACGGGCAGAGGAAAACTCCCCGCCTCTGTCAGAGTGCAGACGCAGAACAGGAAAGTCCGAGCCGAAACTCTCTTTGAGGTGGAGACGAGCTGCGCGGATCCATTCGATCAACACCTCAATGACGTCACACTTGCTGCGCAAGGGGAAGAGTGTGGTGTAACACGAGTAGTCGTCAACCACCAACAGGAAGTAACGCTCGTGCCCCTGTCCACGGACGCGGGCGGGGCCCCATACGTCCATGTGGAGAGTCTGCAGCGGAGCCTCTGTCGGAGGAAACACGGAGGAGTGAGGGGCGTCGCGCTGTCGCCCCTCGACGCAGGGGACGCAGGTAGGGGCAGGCCCCGGAGGTAGGGGAGGGAGAGACCGGGGGAGACCAGAGACAAAGACACGGGAGGCCATGCCTTGGAGACGAGGCAGGGAGGGGTGACCAAGACGGTGGTGCCAACGGAGAGTCTGGTGGGACAGGAGACGACACGAGCAGGGAGCAGACTGAGGACCAGACCTGGACGCTGCAGCAAACACCTGACTCGAGGCAGCTACCTGGCCAGACTTAGCAGCCGGAGGAGACTCAGTAGTAAATGTGTACAGGCTCTACCCTGGCCGACGGGTGAACGTGGCCAAGTGTCAGCCTGTCCGAGCGCACGTGCAGTGTGTCATCCGCTGACTCGCAGGAGTGAACTTGTCGACCCCCCTATCCTGTAGGTCAGCTCCACTCACCAAGTTCGTAGAGAACGAGGGGAGGTAGAGACCTGACAGGCTGCCAGAGGGGGCTGCCGGCCACGGTAAGACAGTGGAGAAGCTAGCAAGGACAGGACCCCCAGAGGGGTCCGCCAGGGAGACTGCAACCGGCCGACTAAGCGGCGTAAGCGTGGTGCGGTCTCGAAAGAAGGAGCGGGAAGCACCCGAGTCAAGGGTGAAGGTGTGTAGGGCCTGAGCCGACGAAGTACCTGAGAGAGCGGACTCACCAGCACCTGGGGCAGCAGACACACTAGCAC